GGTGTTTTCATTTACCTTTTACCTTAAACATTCTTTGGAGTAGGATGAGAAAGCAGGGGCTGAAGGCTTCCTGGTTTTAGTAGATGTTCACTAGATAGGTGAGGTTAATATCCCAAAAGTGGAATAAAAATGAAAGAAGGTATGTAGAGGTGTCGGAGGCTTCTTGTCTGAAGTGTTGACTTCCCTTCATCTGAGACTTGCCTTGAAGCTGGATCCTCAGATATTTAAAGGGAATCCCAAGGCTTGGTTGTTGTTCAATATCAGTGTCTTTTTGTTTCATTGCTCACATAATTAACGCCTTTTAAAACAGTATGTTTACAATATATTAATGGTCATTAGATATTCAGAGGCTGGAGGGAAAAGCCAGATTTCAAAAGGAGCCTTTTTATCTCTCTAGTCTCTCACTGTGAAGAAACTGTACTTCTTGGACTTAGATCTGTACTTAGTATCAGATCCAGCATAAGCAAGAAACAAGGGTTTAAATCCTAAAAAAACCCAAACAAACCTCTGCTGGGTTTTACCTTTGTGCTTGCCTTTGAATGTTACTTCAGTTGAAATTGCTCTTTTTCTGAAGATATGAATAAAATACTTGGGTTTGTAGTAACAATTCTGTTACAAATATTGTTGTGTTTCATATGCTAATGATTTTGAAGCTGAAATGATTTTCAGGACAATATAATACCTATTATTAGACCAGCTACTGTAGCTGGGGGTAACAGGGACAAGTTTTTAGACTTCTCGGGCCCCACAAGGTGTTTCTCTACAGACTTCTAAGCAAGCTCATAATAAGATGCAATCGTATAAAGTGAGAGTTTTTCTTCAGATGATGAAATGGCATGTCTCAATGAGGGGACTTAACAGTCTCAGGAAATGTAAATTAAAGCAGGAATATCATAGGGATTGTTGTTACACATAATTAAAACTCATTTGATTTGCTCTCTGTCTTTTAAAGATCTTGCACCTGGTTTTCTGAACAAGTTGAAAGCTATGGCCAAGCTGAGGTATTACAAATAAGAGAGCTATAAGCAGTTACCAAGTGTTACTGTCCTGGAAAGGAAATTTAAAAGTTTTACCCTGTTTTTAATGGCTTCCCCCCTCAGACTGGGAGAGATTTGGATTGTAAACTAGAAAAACAGAATATACTGTTAAATAGGAAACTGAAATCTCCTAGAATTCCTACGTGGAAGGTGGCGAGATGCTTGGTAAAGGCCTATGCATTTTATTTTCAGAAAAAGAAATCTTAAAATAATTTTGTACTAGTGAGAAGGATGCTTACAACTGTTCTGGAGAGAAAAATTGTGCGAGTATAGCGTCAGAGAGAAGCTATAGGATCTTTTTGTTCATCTCTGTACCTTTTATTTTAATGTTCTCTGACCTGCTACAGATTTTTGCTTTTTGCTACTGTGCTGTCCACATGAAACACTGTACATCAGCTGAAGCCTCAGCTCTACTGAGGAAAGCAGGAGGTTATCTACTGAGCCTTGCCTGCAACACGAAAATTCATCTTGACATGACATTTGCTTTTTTGGCATCATGTTGTTGGCTCAGATTCCATTTTTGATTCACTGTAACTCCTGTTTCCCACTCTTTCTTGTGGAAATGCTGTGTTGAGATAATTTCAAGAGTAATACTAAGTTGGGATATGTCACCTCTACTGCTTCTCTTTTGTTTTCTAGGTCAATTAACTTGTCAAACAACAAAAAAAGTTAATTTGTTTACTTTGGCAAGACCCATTCTTGTCAAATCCACATTGGCTGTTCATGACTTCTATTACTGTTTGGGTAGCTATTGCTTATTCTTCAGTCTGCTCCCTTTTGGAATATTGAAGATACATTTATTTTGCTTCCTCTTCAAAAATGGGTTGGTATATTTGCCCTTTGCTTAAGATGTGAAGATTACTTCAGGTACTTCTAGTAGTAGAATATATTAATTAAGCCTTATCAATGTGAAAACTTAACGAAAAATAAGAATAAAAAATACTGACCTGTGTTTCTGTTATTCCCATGAAGTTGTTAAATATTTTGTCACTATTTTCCTTTTCTATGCCAACAGAAGCAGTGAAAAGTTTGAAATATTAGCATTATATATAGCTTGCTTTTCTTTTCTGTCAAGTGACATATCTATCTGTTCTTTTAACCATCTTTTTATTACTACTTCATTTGTAGAACTCATTGTCTTCCTTATTCCTGCGGATTGTAATTCATTTTGCAACTCAGTGTTTCTTATTTTTTCATATTTTTTTTTTTCCCCCTTTCTTCCCCTACATGCCTGTGCTACTTCTTAGCTTTTGTCAGAACTGCAGGGTCAGAGCATAAGTCAGCCCTGCCGAGGTAATCGCAGTTAATACACAACAGACTCCAACCCTTGGCCTGGTCTGTGGACAAGAGCATGATGTGACTTTTATACGGGGAGAGCTGTCAGCCTGAGAGGTAGGATGCACTCCAAAAGGCTGTAAGGGGTCGAGATGCAGCAGTTAGCCTGGTGTCTGTGACAGTGGTGAAGGATTACGAGGGAGAGCTAAAAATTACTTTTTTTTTCTTTCTATATTTGTCTCTGCTGGTAGGCTTTGTATGATAGCAATAGGGTGAGGCGGACCTCCCCAATTCTTATGCCTTCCCCCCTCCCAGCACGTTGTAGGAGGTGACTGCAATTGTATTGATAAGAAAAACAGCTTCACCTTTGTTACTTACAAGCAATGGTTTTGATGTTTTATTTGAGACCTCCTGAACCAGTAAGGATGCAGGTGGTCTTTATTCTGAACAGCAGTACTTCTCTCTTAAGGTTAACTTGAAAAGAACAGCATTAAAGTATTCTCAGTTCCCAGGTCAATCTACGTACTCACTCTACCTAGTTAACCTTGTCTCAGTTCTCTCCACCTTCTTTATTGAGAACACTCGTCAGTATAAACAGTCAATGAAACATGTTTTTCTTATAATACCGACATGCATGTGCTTCATTAAGAATGCTTTTCCTTGTCCTCTTACCCAAACTGTCAAAAACCCATTTACTGGAGCAATATTAAATTACCAGATTTGAAGTTGCTAGTGATTTCGGAAGTACAGTACAGCTGACCATCTTGGGCTGGTTTGTCTTTCAGGAAAAATGATATTGTAAGCTCCTCAGCCTGTTACTGGCATTTTAATGATATTACAGAGCTACTGGCATAAATGAAATAGCAGCAGTTAACTGAGTCAGGGAAGAGCATTTTCTAACCAGGGTTGAATGTTGCATGGCAGCCACAAATATACACACAGAGGCTACTACTGCTAGAGTCTGTAGCAAATACGGCTGTCTTTAACAGTGAGATGACATGTCAACAGAGATTTCCACTCTCATAACTGTACTCTTTTTAATGGCATGTGAGTTGATGGTGTTTGGTAGATGCCTTCTTACCCCCTTGCACAGCTGTACCTCGAGTGAGGATGCAAAGACATCCACAGGATTAAAAAGTTAACTCTGAAACGTTGTTTTTAACCTTTGCTGTTGTGACTTCAGTATTTTGGATAAGTGAAACCATGGAAATAGGCAGGGCACTATATAGCCACAAAAACCAGAGTTACAAAATTGCTAAATTCCGTTTCCCTTTCCAGTATACAGCCTAAATCTTTATATTTCCATTTGCCTTGAATAATGCTGCTTGACATTAATGCAGTCTTGCAGCAGCTTATGTTCTGGAAGAGAACAAGAGAAAACTCTTGGTTTGTCATAAATGTCAGTTTAGAAATGAATTGGTCACTGAAGCAGAAGAGTGTTCAGTGGTACAGTTACATTTGGTGACTACATGGACGCTCATGCTGTAGAAAAACAAATCCTGAAAGCTTTATTCATATATTTTAAAAGTTAAGACAAGAGGAATATTTGCATGCCTAATCCAGACTTGGGTATCCAGGAATTTGAATGTTACATTTCAGCAAGGAACAGCTGGAGAAATTCTTGCTATGTTCCTGGAATGCGTCTTTTTCCAAAACCATTTGTTAAATTTGAATTCTATTTGTTTCTAGCTATTTACAGCAAACTCTTTGTCAGTTCACTGTAATAAAGTTAGGGAGAAATATGTTTTGGTACCTCCTCATTACAAAGACATGAGTTAAGAGGCTCTGCTCTTCTATTTTAAAATCTGCTGTAGTAAGGTGTTTCCAGTGTCTCCTGTGAAAGAACACCCAATTGTTTCAAAATGATGGGCAAATACTTATGCATGGGGATACTGGAATATTTGATTTGATATTTCAGCCAAATCTAGTGCATATAAAGCAGATTAAAAATTTCTGCTGTTTTTTTAAGTGCAGTGCTAGGACTGCTATGAAAACCGTGTTACTTTCTTTGTCCTCCTTAATCCATCTAGAACCAATGAATCAACCCGATCTTTCCACTGACAGACCCTGGTACTGGTCAGGAGGCACCTGGCTACAGCTCAGGACAGGTCTGGCCATTACTTTTCAAGAATCCGTGGTTAGGAAGTGAAGTGGGGAAAAAAAATACATTTGAACTTATTTTCCCATTGAAGGATTAAAAATAAAACTGGATGTGAATCTGCCCATAGTTTTATGCTGTCTATTGAGGCCAAGATGCAGATAATACCACATAAAAGAGACTATACCACAATGACCACTGATTAATGCTAAATACCAGGTTAGTTTTTGTCTTGGTGTTTTTGTGGTGTTTAATTTTGCAAATCTTGAAAAAATAGTTCTCAGCGGAGATGTAGAACCCTCTAAAATTCTACATATAATATTTTGCTATATGATCCATAGGATCTTACTTTTCTTGATTGGTTTAATTTGGTCTTGTAGGAGAATCCATAGATACTGGTAGGTCTGTGTGCGTGAGCTGCCTGTTTGTATGGACTAATTAAGGTATGTTCAGCTTTGTGAAAATGAATGTCAACCTCAGCATCCTTTAAAACAGCTGAGTCTATCCAGTTTTATATCAATTTCTCCATGGTGCCTTGAGACATTAGATTCATCCATTGTCATGCCTTTCTCAGATTGCCCATGAGACAGGATGCTCAGTGGGGAGTGTGCTTGTGCTAATGGATTTTGATTCTCTGGGAAACTTTTTGGCTCCTTCGTGCCTCTACTTTCTAATCCAAAGAGTGGAAACAACAGCACTTACTCAATGAGCAGGAGTAACTTAAAGTTTGGCCTCTTAGCACTAATCTTTTTATCCAGATAAATGTTTACATTCTAGACACATTATTTTCTGAGAATACTTGGAAGCTGCTTCTTGGAGATGAGGCCACTTGTGTAACTGGACCATAACTGTACTGATCAGCCACCTGGATCTCTCTGCTGACCAGTTAAATGTCCATTATGTTGTTGGAGATTTTTCCTTCCATTTTTGAGTCAGACATCCATATATAGTTACTTCAATAACTGAATGTGTCTGATGAAGTAAATTATTCACAGCACTTTTTTTCTTGATGCATTCATTTTAATTTACATATGAATGTAAATTAAATAGGTAAAAAGTACTGATGTGGACAAGTATCACATAAAATATCTGGAGAACTTCCTATCTATTTATGCTGTACTTTTTAGAGTGTCCATTCTTTGAGATTGTCATTCTCATTGTTCATTTTTCCCCATTGTTTGACCATATCGCTACATTTCTTCTCAGGAATTCTTGGTTTCTATTGAAAAGTTGTTTGGTAACAACTCAGACTCAGTGTTACACTCACTAAGCTTTATGTGCAAATGCAGACCTTACTGGAAAGCCAAATCGCTGTCTGAAACCTCTTGTGTTTTCTTATTTAAATGAGCTTGATTTGTTTTCCTATGTATTCACAGGCTCTTAAAATAAGAGAGAGCTGCAATTGCCCATCTCTTTCTGGACCAGATCCTCGCCTCATTTTCAGACTTAACATGCAACATCTTCTGGAATCATCTAAAGATCAAGAAACCCCAAATTCTACAAAGCCAGATCTCTCAAAACCAAAACTGGATTTTCCTCACACTCAAAAAGTGGAAGATATGCCAGTAACTTTTGCAGTCAAACCTACAAACTAATGATGATAATTTTCATGTTTTATGGAACTTGTGGTCCCTGAAGGTCTGTCTTATAACAAGAATTTGTCTTTGAACTATAAAGAAGATGTAGCCACTCATATTCTATGTTTCTTTTATGTGATCTCTCATTCAAAGCAATAAGGAACCATGCCCACACAAGAAGAGCAGCGTGTTGGAGCAGAAAGTTTCTTATTCATCAAGAGTTACTAAAATAAATCACTTCTCAGGGGAAAGATAATCTCATACAATCCAGTCACACAGTGTAATTTTCAGTGTTATCAGGCTCACCTTGATCAGAGGACAGATAAGCCAGAAGTGTCCCTAAAGCAGAGGAAAAAGTACCATTTTCATCACTTAATTTGTCTGGTTTATCTTGCTGTAATTTGGGTTAGATCTGTTCGGCTTCATTTGAGAAATAATGAGGAGAGCTTACCACCTGTTCCACATACAGAATGTTTAAAAATATTAAGCTGAGATGCGGTAATAGCCTATGGGCTAGATACACCCCCACTTAATTAGGTGGATTTACTGCTGGGATTTTTCTTCTTTCTAAGGCATTTTAGAATATGGATTGATTCAACATTTCTCTTCAAAGCACCCTGAAAGGGTTGCACAAAGTTCAATTTTAAAAAAGGAGTTAAATAATTTTCAAGGAAGTCTTTTTTCTGAAAAAAACACAGTTTGTAGCTTGGAAGGCTGGCTGTTGTCTTTTTGAAATGATCAGGGTGCCTTATCAGAGGCTGGTTTTAGTGCAATGACATCTGATTTGGATATATCTATTTGGATAGAAGTGGTTGCTGATGTGGAAATATATTATGTAGTAGACATACAGCAAGATTCCTTGACTGCACAGCTTTTTCAGCTGTACCTTATCCTGAAAGGTGACTTCTCTTCAGAAAACTGGCATCTAATGCTGAGCATTTCCCCGTCCCTTGAATCCCCCTGAAGCCATATGTTTTATAGTGTGAAGACCAGTATGCACAATATAGGTAAAGCTCAGTATAGCCAGCATGCTCATCTTCATTTGCAACTGTTTGAGTTATCCTTGCTTTGAAGCTGATGAAAATACTGAAATGTCGATCTTGCAGGAAGACATAGAAAGAGGCAGAAGTGAATGGAAAAAAAATCAAACCAACAAAACCCCTTCCTTTATCTGTTAAGATGTACTTCCTATTAGATTTTGCAGCTCACTTGTATTAAAACAAAAATCTGTTTTATGTATGTTAGGGTTTTACATGAAGGGGGATATTGAAAATGTTTTACAGTGAATTGTATTTTGAAAGATCCTTTTTTATACATGGACAGGGACAGATTTTATCATATTTCTTCAATTAAGGCAGAATGCAAGCTTTTTAAAAGGAAAAAAATAAACTATTCAGTGCTGTCAGTGAATATAGTCAGAAAAAAAAGGTTGTGAAATAAGTAATTCCTTTACTGACTTCAGTTGACGAACCGGGGTCCTTGGAGGAACGACAGCAACTACCTAACTTATCTCTATTCAGAGGTAAGTTGATGTATCTGTAATGCTGATGATTCTAGCTCTGATTATATAGCTCTAGATTGGCTGCTTATTGCTTACAAGCTGGTCTAAAAACTCTGCTCAATACTCCTGGCAAGAAGCAGAAGGTCCATCCTGACCATTATTCATCCATCCATTTTTATTCTTAGTGACAGGGGTTTTTGTAACAGCCGTTCAGTGATGTGTTGAAGCATTTGGACGTTGTCACCTGAAGGTAAACAGAAAAATACACCATTTAAGATTTCCCTGTGGACCTTATAGTTTATACTGCAACACCAAGACTCCGACGCTGCTGCCTCTCGCTGGCTCCAGTGTCAAAGCTTGTTTTGTTACCCTGGGCTCCTGGTTGATGTGCAACTTGATGCTTGTGTCTGTTAGGGCTAAGGAGAACACAGAAAAGTTTTATAGCTTTCAAGATGAAGTATGAAACTACACAAGTTTCATATTTCTACTGTTTTAAGTGGCTTACGTATTGCAGTGGAATGCAGGAGATGCAATTTTTAAGTTCACCAAGGGAGATTGTTCTTTTCTTTTAAATAGGGTAAGTGGTCTTGTGAGCATGATCATGGTGATGTGAGAGAAAAGGTTTCAAGGGAGAGGTAATAGTTTATGTTAGACCAACAAAGGGCTTATGGACTTTTTCCAACTGTACTGGTCTAATAAAACATCTCTCTTCTCCTTATGAACTTTACATACGCATGCACACACGTACATATGTGTATATATATAAAGTGCACACACAGACACAAGAGTTAGGCCTCTACACTACAAAACTTCTGTTTTAAAGTCCAAAATGGGATGTTGAAAATTTCAGTTTTTACTTTACTTTTTGAATTACCCCTAATATTTTTTTCAAGTGGTTTTGGAGAGATTTCCTCATTCTGCTTCTCTTGACTCTCCAACACACAAAATGCCTTGTGCTCATCTGCCTCTTGGAGGGCACTTTTTCCTTAAACTGTTACTGAATACTATACGTGATACCTGGCCATATTGTTAAAGTATTTCCTTTTTTCTTACTTGAACGTAAAAATGACCAAAATGTTGCTTTCCAAAGATTTGGCAAGTCATAGTAAAAATTGCACTTTTAAAATTAAATAGCATGTAATAATTGAAGTTGCATGTGCATATATGATAATTTATTATTATATATAATATATAAACTATAAAATATTGAGATAATTATTATTATTATTTCAGAATAAGAATAATTTTCTTAAGGGTAAGAAAATACTACAGTTGCAAGCTTTCCATTGCAGAAACTTTCACTGTAGAAACTTTTCATTGCAGTCGTGTAACTCAGTGTGTCACAGGAGAAATAGGTCTAGAAAAGCTGTTGAAGAAATTCAGTGCTTGAAAGACACTTGTCATAGAGGAGGGAGAATAGTGGCTAAAGTGGAAGAAGGTAAGAGGTCAGTAAAAATGCATCTGCATTTCCACCCCCAGTACTGCATGCTGTACTTCACAGCTGCCTGTTGGAAGACTAAACATATCGTAGAAATTTCACTAAATCTCTTAGTGCATTTACTATAGTGGGGGTGTTGAGAGATTTGATAAGTGGAGGATGTGCATTCAAGGCAGTCCTGTAATAAAAACAGCTCCTTATAACTTTTGGTTTGTCATGTTTACTCTTTTTTTTTTTCCTTTTTTTTTTTTTTTTTAACTTGATATACATAAGTGCCAGGAAAGCAAAGCAAACAGCTGTTAGAATGCTCTTTGTTCTTGAATTCTGTTTGTAGTCCTTAAAAGAGAACAATCCTGCAAGCTTGATGCTTTTTTCATACATTATGTAGGCTGCCACAGCTTTTTTTCTTTTCAGTGTGGTGTTTATATCACAATACCCCTGGTTGAAAACCTATTTCCAATATAATAGTGTGTTGTAAGCTGTTTTACTGCTGTCAAAATTCTCTCTGCTGAAAATCCTTGTTGGTTTTTCTCGATCTTGAGGGCTTTTGAAGGGGGAGTGGGATGATCAGGAGGTGTGGTTGGTAGCAGAGGTAGCAGGGTGAGACTTTCCTGTTGGCAGTACACTGTGACTTCTTTAGCTTTCCATTCCATACTGCAGAGCAGGGTTTAGTCCCCTATGGTGAGGACTGCTACTAATCACTTGCATTTCTAGACCACTTGAAGCACATAAATACTCGTGAAGCTTTTCCATAACACCTGCACAGGTGAACTTTCTAACAGTTTTACTGGAGATACTGAAGCTCAGTAAAATAGTGATTTTTAGCAAAACTTTGTGAAGGTCAGTGAAAAAATCTGGGGCTAGAACTTTGGCTTTCTGAATCATTCCTTAGCTCAGTACAGCACACTGCATAAGGTCTGCGCCTCTGAAAGCAGAGTCCTCACAGCAAATTGAAGTGATGGCCTTTGGGTGATTGTTGTATTTATACAGTTTGTCACCTTGATGTGTATCTGCAGAGGTTAGATGTACCTCTGTGCATACTTAATGAAGTACAGTTATTTGTTCTTGATGTAGTTATTTCTTAATTACTTTCTTTTACGTGTAAACTGGTTATTGGTTTGAGGGTTTTTTACTGCCCACCGTCACTAAGGAAGCAATGCCTAAATCTGTTGACATGGTGATTATTTAGTCTCAAAAAAACTTTAACTTCAAATTTGTGTTTCCACCACAAAACCAGGGTTTGTTGTATATTTATTGTCACATTAGCTGTAAAATAACACTGCATAAAAGTTGGCTACAAGTCTTCCTTTTCTGTGCCTCCACCCCATCTTTTTTCTTGTGCTGCAGATGCCTCTCCCAGAAGCAGGCAGGGCTGCTGAGAGAGGAGTCAAGATAAGCAGAATGGACTTTTAAATAAGTCAAATAAAAGATGGAGTTGAATGTTCTGCCTGTGATAACTTTATTGCTGGGGTTGGCAATTGTTGGCAGATCTGTAAAGAGAAGTGACTGAGTGTCTCTGGTGTCCCTCATTGCTGCCTGTGCATATTGCAGGCATCCAGTAAATGTGCTGTTTGATCTCCTGGAGCCTAAGGCTACCTGCCAAACGCAGGGCTAGCATAATATTCCTGGCTACATTCTTCTGGCTGTGCTGGTTAAAGGCTGTGGTTCTTGGTGTGAGCCGGGGGCTCTTACCCTGATTTATGAATGGATGCAGAGAATTGTTATCTCCAGCACATAAATTTATTATAACTATTAAACTCAGCTGAAATTGAACCTGTTGACCTGGAAGTGAATGGCTCCATAACATTTCATTAATCCTTTGAGTTGTTTAATTTCTGCTAATTTGATATTTCAGATATGATCTTCTCTACAGATATAATGGCTTAATTAGTATACATTACATGATGTCTCTTCACACTACAGCGTGTACAGTATTTATTCACTAGAAAAGTAATTCAGTAGAGCTCAATTATAATACATTGACTAAAGCACAAAAGTTGAAAAGAATATGTGCAGTAGTCATTATATTTTAAGCATAAACATTTTTCAAGCAGTCTTCTAGTTGTTGATATCTATCACCTTCTGAAAATGATGTTCCAAAACCTTTTGTTACAGCTTACTAAAGTATTTCAACTTAGAATGGGATTCTGACAATACTGGATTAATTAGCAAATCATAACCATCATTTGGTGGGACAACAGTTGACAGGAAACCTGATATGTGACTTAGTCACCTGTGTAGTATCCTTAGTACAGTCTTTCATGTTGAAAGTCCAACATGAACAGATGTGAAAATGCAAGTTTGAAGAATGACTTTCTATTTGATATGGTTGTCTTCTATATCCTAATTTGATAAAAAGCACTGGTGGCTGACAGCACTTTTGGGTGATAAATACCAAAATATGTGCTAACCAAGTTTATTTTGTAGCCTTCAGCTTGCAAGTCTTGTAGATGAAGACACAACTTCATGTAACAGTTGAGGATGGTGGTTCCAGTTGGAGCTGCAGGGAACAGGCAAAGAGAAAAGTAATAAGTCTTTGGAATCTGGTCATTTTGCTGCTGCCTTCCTGCAGAAAGTGGAGGCACAGATACGAGGAAGCTCTGAAAGTGCATTTAACAAGTGAAAGTAAAAATTTTGCTTGTGGCATATGCTGTATGATCCGACCTGCCTACCTTTTCCTTCAGCTTTCACAGGTGTATAGATTTTCACAGGAAAGACATGTTTGCTGCAGCTGGATTGGGACATATTGTGATCAGCCTGGTGGTCATTCTGTCTTTTGTTTCGTGCAAGTGCAAAGACTGTTTTTGGAAGTGAGTTCCATAAGAAATTATACAAGTTGAGTATTTTCCCCTTCATGAGTGAGGTTGTGGTCAAGGCCCTCCAGTGTCTTTCAGGTTCTTCTTGTGCAACCTGCAATCCAATGTGGAAAATTAATCAGGTGCCACAGAAGTAGGGTGAGCAAACCAGCATTTCAACATCAAGTTAATGTGAAAAAAAGGTGTAAGGTGTTCCATGCATAAGCAACAGAAGCTACTGAAAGTACTAGATGGGCTGAAAACCTGATAAATAGTGTAGGAAATTTCTCTAAATTTCTTGTGCAAGTTTCATTGCAGCTTCTTCGTAGTCTCAGATACCACATTTGATCTTGTCAAATGGGTGTTGAGGTCAACCCAGGGGGCCACAAAAGTTGCAAGAATCTGCTGGGAAAATGGTATTTCTTAACCCCCTCACTGCCTAATTTCTAGAATTGCATAGAGGATTGGCTATTTGACCCAATTGTCAAATGAAGTGTTTTTCCCAAACTTTTAAAGGATGTTTTTTCATGCAGGTATTGAAGTTGGTTTTGTTTTGTCAGATCAGTGTGTACAAAATAGTACCTGAATTTAGGTTACTCCTGCCCCAACCCA